CATACACACATATATCCTTTTGGAGAACTCTGACTCATAGATAATTTTGGATCCAAGAATGATTCTAGAGGAAGAGAATCTGAAAAATACATTTTCTTAATTGGTTCTGGGATTTCTGGAATTGGTTCTCTAATCTGACATGATTTAAAGGCACCAATGACTCTATGTCCAATGATAGAGAGCACTGATAGTCCACGGCATGATGTGGCAATAGATGTATGCAAAATATTACCTTTGGATATTCCTCATCAAATACAAAGTATTCTGGATGACCACGTATGTCATACCTTAGAACATTTTTATCAGACTATTGATTATAATGAGATTAACTGGTTGTCCTAACTGTTCTGGAGAAACTGGGGAAAGAAAAGCATGACTCAGGGTTTCACATTCCTAGCTCAAGCGCAACATAAATGATATGAAAATTGCTATGTCTGCCCTGAAACAAACCATATCATCTGTAGTTGAAGGGCTGAGATTTATGAAAACCAAACCCAATCTTATGTTGCAAGTGCCTGAATTATAACACATACTGATGCTCAACCTTGTAGGAAACTGCTGTTAAGGTGAGGGTACTGATTGGGAAGAAAACAGATCCTGAAAATTGAAATGGGTCATATGGGCAGTTCCTGCTGAAGTGAGGACATTGAACTCCTAAATTCTGCTGAATCTTATTGCCAATGAAGCATGCTTTCCATCCTTGTTTGAGGAGGTTAACTCTATTTGCCTGAGTAATACTTCTGATTCTCCTCAGAACCTACTCTTTGCTTCTAGACATATAACTAGATTCAAGTCCCAGAGGACCCTGAAGTGTGAAGAACACTGTGACCCATGAAGTGGTCCACTACACTCCAAACAAACAACATGAGTTTTTTCCAATTTATGCAGACAAACCCGAGGCATATGTGTGGGAATGGACATTGTAGGTTTGGGAAAACGGTAAAAGGAACATAATTTTGAATCTGGTCAAACTTACTGATACTGACCCACTAAGCAAAAATTCCATATTTAATGTGATAGCTTGAAAGGTTAAAAAGGGCTGTAGTAGTTTGTATGTTTGCTAAAACATGGACCAAAAGGCAGCATACAATAAATAAAGTTGAAATGCTGGAACTGCCTGAGTACTTTGTAGAGGAGAGTAGCCAAAGGCTTAGAGAGATTGGAATGCTAGAATAGACTTATCATGTTAGACCTCACCCAACCCTGGAGGCTGCAGACGACACACCTTTAACCACAGCTGTGAGAAAAAAAAAAAAAAAATTATGAGTAGCCCCAGCATCCTTGAAGAGTTCTGTGGTTGTTGTTCTCCATAGGTCATAAATTACAGTGACAACTGCTGCCACTGAACTGGGATCCTTAAATGCAATGAGCATAATTGGATCCAAGGTCATAGGGCCAAGTGGCAAAGACAAAGTAGGTGTAGTTACCATAAGGGAGAGCAGTCAAAGCAGTAATCAGGATAGTGTTAACTTGCAGAGACCTATGGGGTTTGCTAGTGTCCCTAGAAGGGAAACAGATGGGCAGTCTACTAAGTTCTTACTTGATCTGTATAAGCAGAATAGTTCTAGGCCAAGTCCCAGACTTGAGCCAGTTTACCTAACTAGAGCCCCTTTGGAGAGATATCTGCAAACACTAATTTAGGTGTTTCTATGAGGGTATTTTGTAGATGTTAAAACACATTAGTTGACTTTAAGTAGATTACCCTTAATAATGTGGATGGGCCTCATCTGATCAGTTGAAGGCCATATGAGAATAAGCTGAGGTTTCCTGGAGAAGAAATTCTGCCTCAAGACTGCAGCATTAATTCTGCGTGAGTTTCCAGCCTGCTGGCCTGCCATACAGTTATTAGGCTTGCCAGCCCCAACTGTGTGAGCCAACTGAAATGACTAAATAAGTTAATAAATAAATCATAAGTAAATTGAAAAATAAATAAGTAAACACACATATGTGTATATATTCTATCAGTTCTTTTTCTCTGGAGAACCCTAAATGATGTGTCACACATGCTGACACATCACATGCCACTGCTCCTTCCACCATAACCCAGCATTTATAAATTTATCACTTTGTGCAATCCAACTCCCAAATTTGTTAGGTGATTAATAGTTTTCTGATTTCATTAAAGTGACAGTTGGGATCAGGGAAGTTCACTATATTGCCAAAGTTGCCTAATTATATTTACCCTGAACCAAAATTTGAGAATTTATATGTCTGGATCTCTAGAGCAGATTTTGCATTACAATGGCTACCTGTCATTCCACTAAAGTTTGATAAATGCCATGATAGTTTTTTAAGACAATGTTGTGGATTCAGAGAAGAGTAGATTATACTGTCTAGAGTGATGAGGCCAGAGAGAATTAGCCACAAACTCATTTCAGTTAAATGATATAGACTTTGTTCATGTAAAAATTATCCCAAATACTCTCATTCCAAATCACTCTCATAAATATTAAATGACTTTGAAATTAAAATCCTCAACTTATGCCTTATTTTAAGCCATAGCAAATGTCAAAGTCAATTCTATTCTCTGAAGTTAAAACTTAGAGGGTAATAGTATAAATAACACAACCCAAGTTACATGACAATTTCTATTTTTCCTAGCAGACTAGTATCCAGTAGATTTGAAACTGTATTAAGGGCATATGTTGGGGCATTCTGAGATAAAAGTCTATGCCTAGAGACCATTTATAAGGCCAGAAAAGTAAATAGAAGGCACATAGATTAGAAAGAACAAAATAAAACTGTCTCTATTTACAGATGACATTATTTTACATATAAATAATCCAAAGGAATTTGCAAACAAAATTATCACACCTCCCCCCCAATGAAATAGGTTTAAATCCAATACATGTACAGGAGCTGCAAACTACAAAACAATGATGAAAGAAATCAAAGACCTAAATCAGTAAATAGATATACTGTGCTTATGGACTGGAAGGCTCAACATAGTAAAGATTACCCATTTGTCCCCAAATGATATAAAGGTTTATGCAACTCCTACCAAAATCTAAACAGAATATAGACAGGCTGATCAAAAATTTATATGAAAAAGCAAAAGAACTAGAATAGATTAAGCAATTTTGAAAAAGAATAATGTGAGAGGAATCACTATAAAGCTACAGTAATTAAGACAGTATGGCACTGTTAGAAGAATAGACAATGGACACACAGATCAATAAAACTAACAGAGTTCAGAAATGGACTTGCGCAATTTGGCCAAGCAATTCAATAGAGAAAGCATATTTTTTTCAACAAATAGTGTTTGAAAAATTGTATATCCAAAAAAGTGAACCTTGACTTAAAGTTTATCCCTTATAAAAAATTAATTCAAAATGTATTATAGATTAATTTTCACATTAAACTTTAAAATTTTTGTGTATCTGAAATAAAAAAGAAAAGCTGAAAATATAATGAAACATTTTCAGACTGTAAATACCTGACAAAGGATTTCTGTCCAGAATATATTACAACACTAAATATAAGAAAAAAAATTAATGACCCCTTAGGGCTACAACTAGTGGCAGTGAATTGAGGTGAGTTGGCCCTCTATTTTCAGTTCTACAATGCTCTTGATATGACAAAATTATAGAGATAAAGCATAAATTAGTGGTTGCCAGGTTATGGATGGAGAGTTGAGGCAGGGAAGAAAAATGGGTGTGATGATAAAGGGATAGAATGAGGGATCTTTGTGATGTTGCGAGTTTTATATCTTGATTGTTAATGGTAGTTACATGAATCTACACATTAATAAACTTGTGTGGGAACTATAAGGACACACATAAACAAGTGCATGTAAAAATGGTGAAATCTGATCATTTCTGTGGATTGTATCAATGTCAGATTTGATGTTGTACTATAGTTAGGTAAGATGTTACCATTATGAGAAAGTAGTAAATACAAGGAGTATTCAAAAAGTTCAAGGATGGATTTGTATTTTCTTTTAATTCTATTTTTCCACTAATTTTTTGAAGTACCCTTACAGCACTATAGGGTATTATTTCTGCAACTTCCTATTAACCTATAATTATTTCTTTTTTTTTTTTTCCTTTTTGTCTTTTTTTGTGACAGGTAATGGGATCGCAACCCTCGGTGTCGCGCCCACACCACGCTCAGCCAGTGAGCGGATCGGTCTCTATATGGGATCCAAACCCTCGGCGGGAGCGCCACTGCGCTCCCAAGCACTGCACTCAACCGAGTGCACCACCGGGCCGGCCCAACCTATAATTATTTCTAAATAAAAACATTTTTTAAAGTCTCAGTAGGAAAAAAAAAAGATAAAAATATATGAATAGACTATTCACAGGAAAGGAAATTTGAGTCACCATAAATATTTGAAGAGCCTGACTTTTCAAATATTTGGAACAGTAAGAAGTGAGCTGTTCACAGCCACCAGGCCCTTACCTGGCACACATGACCTTACCAGCATCTGCATCCCCATTTGCAGATCCAGAAACCAAAGAAAGTTCTGTTGAGATATATTGAAATGCCGCCTGCTCCAAAGCTGGTAAATATCCATGGCTTTACATTAGAATATTAACCACATTTCACAGAATGCATGAATGGTCTCTTTTCATCACGCTGAAACTAACCCAAATATAGGTAAATTTTTTTTCCAAATGGAAAGTCAATTATCTCCCAAATTAAATAATTATTTTGTTTCTTCACTGCTTTCAACTAGGGGAAGAACTTGTGTATTTTTTTAAACTTGTGTTTAAGATAAAATTATCTTAAAATTTTAAAGTTGGCATCAAATAAATGCCATATGTACTCCCAATTAATTTATGAAGAGAGAGTAAACAAAATAATACTTTGGCTTTTCTTGTATATAGTGAAGAGAATTTTCTATAAACTTTGAAGATCAAGAATAAGAATCCATTTAAAAATTCTATTAACCCAGGTTTCTCTCACCCATTTAATTCCTATTTTAGAAAAATTAGGAAAATAAAGGCAAGAAACAATTTTTTAAAACCCCACATAATTAATTCTGACAATCAGATTTGTTACCACTTTCATATTTGCTTTCATTCTTTTATTAAAGACATATTACTGATAAATATAATAACTCCCACCAAACCTTTCCAACATCCCGAGTCTTACATGGATCCATGATCAATACACAATACTGTTCTTTGCACCATTTTATTGTACAAATGTCATAGCATGTTTCATCATGTATTTTGCTTTTTTCTCTCAATATTGTATATTGTGATCTATCCATGTAACTATAAGTGAATTTTGTATCTTCTTAGTACTGTATAGTATTCTATCATAGAAATAATGACATCATATTGATCTATTCCTCTATTGATAGAAACGTTATATCCAATTTAGGCAATACAAACCATGATGTAGTAAATATAGTGACATATATCTCTTTGTGCATATAAGTGGGTGCCTCTGAGGCCAATACACCAAAATAGAATGGATTACTCCATGTTTATGTGTTTTTAAGGAAATCCTGCTACTCTAAAGTAAAATATATTCTATTTTATTTTCATCATAGTTTTAGAATTTTGTTTTTTATATCTGGTCTTCAATCTATTTGGATTTTATTTTTCTATGTAGTATAGAGAGCTACCATTGTTTGCTCATATGAATCTTTGATTTATTGAATAGTCCATCCTTTCCCCAGTGATTTCAGTAGCACTACCATACACAAAACTCCCATATCTTCTCGGATTTGTATATTGATACTTAGTTTTTTTCAACTGATTCATTCATTTATTCACTCAATAACACTGTTTAAATGACAACAGCTTTAAATAAAGTCTATGATGACATCTAGTAGAGTGTCTTCTCTATTTATTTTGTCAAATTTGTTTGAGCTATTTGTGGTCCTTTACCTTCCTGTATAGAATTTTTGAATCAGTTTGTGAATGAAATTCCTTAAAATATAACTAATGCTGTAAACTTTGAGTGGGAAGTACACTGAAGTTAGAGATTTGGGAGAGAGCTTACAGTTTTACATTGTCAAGGCTTTTCAGACATAATGTCATTTCTCTCCATTTTCAGGTGTTCTTTTGTGCCTTTCATCATGTTTTATAACTTTATATATGTCATAATACATAGTTGCTTATTTTAGATATTTTCTACCCACACATTTTTTAATTTACTATTTCTCATATAAAAGGTTATTTTTATATTTCCTTTTTCTTCCCAATGTTCGTTTTCTTGTTTAGTATATTGGCTAGGAACCAGTATTATGTATTATGTTCATGTGCTGATAGCAGATATCTTGTTTCAGATTTTAATGAGAATGCTGATTAAATATTATCAATGAATAAGTGTCTGGTGATGGTTTTTGATAATTAGCTTTTTCATTATACAATTTGTCACCTTGGTAAGAATTCTCTAATGTTTCAGAAATTTGTGACTTCTTCAGAAGGCTTTCCCACACACCTAGTTTTCTACTCTAGAACCGATCACGTAATATGCAATGAAGTGTTAATTTCTTCTGAAGGCTTTCTCATATTCACAGTATCCATAGGGTTTCTAATGAGTATGAATTCTCTGGTGTCTAACAAGGTGTGACTTTTGGCTGAAAGCCTTGCCACATTCATTGCAGTGATAGGGCTTCTCGCCTGTATGTTTTCTCATATGCAAAGTAAGAGACGAGATTTGAGAGAAGGCTTTTCCACATTTACTACAGTCAAAGGGTTTCTCACCTGTATGACCTCGTATATGTATAGTAAGGGATGAGCTCTGGGAGAAGGCTTTTCCACATTTATTACATTCATAAGGCTTCTCACCTGTATGACCTCTCATGTGCACAATGAGGGAAGTTCTTTGAGAGAAGGCTTTTCCACACTCATTACATACATAGGGCTTCTCACCTGTGTGACTTCTCATATGCAAATTAAGCAGTGAGCATTGAGAGAAGGCTTTCCCACATTTATCACATTCATAAGGCTTTTCCCCTGTGTGACTTCTCAAATGAAGAGTAAGGGATGCAATCTGAGAGAAGGCTTTACCACATTCATTACAATCATAAGGTTTCTCTCCAGTATGAACTTTCTGATGTGTAATAAAGTTTTGCTTTTGGCTGAAGGCTTTACCACATTCATTACATTCATAGGGTTTCTCTCCAGAATGAATTTTTTCATGAGCAATGAGATTTGATTTCTGACTAAAGGCTTTGCCACATTCCTTACATATATAGGGTTTTTCTCCAGTATGAATTCTCTGGTGTCTAACAAGATTTGACATCTGAATGAAAGCCTTCCCACATTCATTACATTCATAAGGTTTCTCTCTAGTATGAATTTTCTGGTGTGTAATAAAGTTTTTCTTGTGGCTGAAGGCTTTTCTGCATTCATTACATTCATAGGGTTTCTCACCAGTGTGACTTCTCATATGTACAGTAAGGGCTGAGCTTTGAGAAAAGGCTTTTCCACACTCATTACATTCATAAGGTTTCTCACCTGTATGAATTCTCACATGTATAATAAGCATGGAAAACTGAGAGAAGGCTTTTCCACATTTATCACATTTATAAGGTTTTTCTCCTGTATGACTTCTCATATGAAGAGCAAGGGATGCAATACGAGGGAAGGCTTTACCACATTCGTTACATGCATAAGGTTTCTCCCCAGTATGAACTTTCTGATGTGCCATGAGGCTTTGCTTCTGGCTGAATGCTTTTCCACACTCATTACATTCATAAGGTTTCTCTCCAGTATGAATTTTTTCGTGATCAATGAGATTTGATTTCTGGCTGAAGGATTTCCCACATTCTTTACATGCATAGGGTTTCTCTCCAGTATGAATTCTTTGATGTCTAATGAGATTTGACATTTTAATGAAATCTTTCCCACATTCATTACATTCATAAGACTGCTCCCTACTGTGAATTTTATGATGTTTAATGAGTTTTTCTTCGTGGCTGAAGGCTTTTCTGCATTTATCACATTCATAGAGTGTCTCTCCAGTATGAATTCTCAGGTGTCTGATGAGGTCCAATGTTTGACTGAAGACTTTTCCACAATGATTACATTTAAAGGGAGTTACTACAAGATGGGAAGAGCTAGTGCCATATGATTTTACAGGTTCATTAAATTCACAATGTTCCTTTCTTATAAAGCATTTCTCATTATTACAACAGTAAAAATTATGTTCTAAACACTTTCCAAATAAGTCATATTCATAGAGATTGTGTCCAGAAGGAACAAAATCTGAGTTTAGAGGAAATACATTTGCAAATTGCTTATGACATTCATTGACTTTTTCTTCAGTTAGTGTTTTCTTACATTTATCTTCAACTTGTCCCCAAAATTTGTCCTGGTTTTTTTGATGCTCATCAATTCTCCATATCTCTCCTAAAACAGATTGCAAATAAATATTATTTGTGAACTTTTTCCAATATTGTAACATCAAGACAATTTCAAAATATCTGTTATTATGGGATTAAGCCCAGTCTCCCATTATTAAACAAATTTCAAATGCATATACTCCCACTTCCTAAATTTTGAGATGGAAATTCTAGGAAAAGAAATATAAGTAGGGGCAGATATTTATTAATACAAACAGCTTTGATCATTTTAAATGGAATCCAAAAGAAAACAGACAAACTGCTAGATAGAAAAAAGGGAGATGCAGAATGTACAAATGAAGAAGAAATAATAATAGAGAAAAAACAAAAATAGGAAGTTAAAAAATCGTAAAGCCATTTTGCAGAATTCCATTGAAACAATTTTTTTTTTGTCTTTTTCGTGACCGGTAAGGGGATCGCAACCCTTGGCTTGGTGTCACTCACACCGTGCCCAGCCAGTGAGCGCACTGGCCATTCCTATATAGGATCTGAACCCGCGGCGGGAGCGTCGCTGTACTCCCAGCAGCCAGTGAGCGCACTGGCCATTCCTATATAGGATCCGAACCCGCGGCGGGAGCGTCGCTGTACTCCCAGCGCTGCACTGTCCCGAGTGTGCCGCGGGGCCGGCCTGAAACAATTTTTTATAAACTGTTTGACATGAATACTTTTCTGGAAAATTTAAATTACCAAAACTGACTCTAGAAGATATAGAGAACTTATATGGACCAATTTCCATGAAATGAACAGAAAAATATGAAAAGCAACTAGCTAAAAACATAATGAAAAGAAAAGTCCGAGAGAGATTGACATGGAAATTCTAACAAACATTTAAGGGACAATTCTCATGTTGTGCAAAACGTACAAAAGGAAAATAAAAAAGATTAATTCCCAATTTTTTTGTGTGTGAAACAAACATAATATTAATACTAAAGCCTGACAAAGATGAAACACCAAAAAAGCAAACTATACACCTATTTCATTCATAAAAACCAATGTAAAAATTCTAAGTAAAATATCAAAATGAATCGGAAGAAAAAAATAATGTAAATTATACCACATTAAATGTAAAATATACCATAACTCAGTGGATTGTTTCCAGGAATATAAGTATGTTTCAATATTAGAAAGTCTATTAGTATAAGCAAATATATATTAATAGGTCAAAAGTAAAAAGCCACGTAATCATTTCCACCAATACTAAAAACATGATAAAATTCAACATCAATTTTCCATTTTTAAAAAAAGCCTTTATAAAATGGAAATAGACAGACATTAAATTGAGAAAAAGTCCACTATACGACAAACACTAGCACTGTACTTAATAGGAAAAGTACAGAAGCATTCACATTAAAGTCAGGAATAAGAAAAAAGTAGTATCGCCACTATTATGGTAGTACAGTGTAGTATGATTAAATAAGAGAAATAAATCAGAGGTACACTATTTGGAAAGGAAAGGTTAAATTAACATTACTTGTCAGCAATAAAACTGCTTACCTGAAAAATTATTATAAAAAGTAAGAAATTCTCTGAATTCACTATATACAAATTTATGTTCAGTTTCAATAACCTTCAGATATACAAACAACTATTTAGAAAATATAATAGAAGAAAAATCCACATTTATAATGGCAACAAAAAAATATTAAAAATTAGGAAAAAAATGAATAAGTAATGTCTAAAAACCATAAAAGACAATTTTAAAATGAACACACAGACTTGAAGAAATGGGAAGGTGTTATGAGTTGAATTGTATTACCTCCACAAATATATTTTAAAGCCCTAATTCCTAGTACCTCAGAATGTGGCCTTATTTGGAAATAGGGTCATTAAAGATGTAATTAGTTAAGATGAGGTCATACAGAATAAGGAAAGCCCATACTCCAATATGACTGGTATTTGTATAAAAAGAATGCTACGTGAAGAGACAGGGACATGGAGAAAATACCACATGAAGATGGAGACCCAGATTGAAGTTATGCTACCACAATCAAGGAATGTCTGGGACTACCAGAAGCTGAAAGAGGTGAGAAAGGATCTGTCCCTGACAGGTTTCAGAGGGAGCATGGCCCTGCTGACACCTTGATTCTTGATTGTGAACTTTCAGCCTTCAGAACTGAGAATAAATTTCTGTTATTTTAAGTCACCTGTTTATTGTACTTTGTTTTCACACCAAGACAAAAGGCATAATACATTCTTGCAAAAGAACATTCAACAGCATAAAGATGACATTATTCACAAGTTAATCTATAAATTTAAAGTGGTTTCAAGAATAGTGTTTGAGGGCCGGCCCGGTGGCGCACTGCTACAGTGCGCCGCTTGGGAGTGTGGCGGCGCTCCCGCCGAGGGTTCGGATCCCACATACAGACCGGTTCCTGCTCACTGGCTGAGCGAGGTGCGGGTGCAACACCGAGGGTTGCGATCCCGTTGCCGGTCCCGGTCCGGTACGGGCGTGACACTGAGGGTTGTGATCCGTTGCCGGACACGAAAAAAGACAAAAAAAAAAAAGAATAGTGTTTGAAAATACTTGTAATAGCTCAAAGGAAAATGTTACTAGGGGGCGTGACACTGAGGGTTGTGATCCGTTGCCGGACACGAAAAAAGACAAAAAAAAAAAGAATAGTGTTTGAAAATACATGTAATAGCTCAAAGGAAAATGTTACTAGGGGTTGCCACCATAGAGGAGAAATGGAAGTAGAAAATTTACTTTTCAACGCATATCCTCTTTTGCTTAAAAAATTTTATACTGTTAGCATATGCTATAAATTCAAAAAAGTAAGTAAATAAAATTGTTCCGAGCACTGTAGTAATCAATAAAATAAGAACAAATAATGGGAAGGTAAAAATTGGATGAAAGAATTGGAACATAAAACTGGAGAAGCCCATCTAGGTTGATTGGATAAGGAGCAAATATAGTAAGCACAGAGGAATTAAAAAACAGTGAGAAGTTGAGGTTAAATATGATATAATAAATACATGAGTATATCTCTGATTCCACCCCAAACTGTACTAATATGAGATAAATAAAAAGTAACAAAGACAAAGACCACAAGAGACAACAATGGATGAAAGATGTAAAGATAATTTTAGCAGATGGAAAGATGATATGGGACTACTACCTGACAGAAGAATTGAGAAAGCTGAAATCCAAGTGCCTGCAGAGGAAGATGTCAAAAAGCAAAACCTGTTATCACATAACTAAAGAAAGGCTCAGGGATTAGAAAAATCTTGTACCATGGAAGGTGGTAATGAATGGAGGGGCTAAAAACAATAGGACTGATGAGAAGTCTATATGGCAAACAGATGCCTGCATTATACAGCAAGATACCTATCACTCCTCTACTCTGGCGAAGAGGGGAGATTACTCTCTGATTCTGAAGAAATGGGACAGAGAGGCTCTAGAGTCAGGGACACCATGTAAAAGAATACAGTGGGAAAAAAAAGTGGCTCAAACATAGGAATAATAAGTGAAAGTCTGTATATTGAAGGGTGAGATTCAGTTCCTTGTTGCTGCTTACTTCCAATGGAAATATGAAAAAATTTCCCCCCTCTCTGCCAGACTGAGAATGAAATGAAGGAAAAACTTCTGTGAAGCTATCCTGTAAGCAGGTAAATTTAGGGACTTGATTATAGGCTATAAATGTATAAAATAAGTCAGAATACTAAGCTCTTGGGTCACCTCAGTTACAGGAAAAAAGATAAGCATAATTAAGCAAAAGATATTGAAGGAGAAGGTAAGATCAGGTCATCAGGGTATTATCCAAGCAGAAGTAAAAGAGAATTCCAAGGCGATACCAAAATATCAAATGTGACAGAAAAGACTCCCTGGTTTAAGATAGTGGGATAAAAAGTCTCTGATACCTTTTCTTCTCTATAGACAGAATGAAAAGTCATTGATTGTTCAATGATCCAAGGATGTAGCTATAACCCCAATTATAATAAATGAGTTACTGTTGACAAATACAGTGAAGACTGGAACAGGGAGGAAGGATAGCAAGAGAAGAACAGCTGTTCATGGTGACCTTGGGTAGAGCAAGAAGTTGACAGTGTCAAAATAGATATCTAGCTTGAAGGTCAAAATTAATTAACCAGGGCTTAGAACATTCAAATTTGGGAATGTAAACTGGTTACAGGAGACTTAATATCCTAATATATATCAGTGAAGCCAGGACTGAACAAGGAAACATTACAACATACTATCTGTTTAAGAGGAAGTCTGTTGGGGTAAAGGTGTAAGATTCAAAGTTAGGTATTCTTACAGAGGGTAAGACTAAAGACTTGCACCTGCAGTTCCTTTTTGGATAAGAAGAAATAAAGCCTAAATATATACATACAACCATGTACAATAAAGGGCTTCAGTATGAAGTAGAGATGCATTTCTACAGATTGAGGGTTGGCAAACTTTTTCTTAAAGTGTCAGACAGTAAATATTTTGGGCTTTGTGGGCCACTATAGTCTTTGTCATAACTATTCAACTTTGCCATTATAAAGGGAAAGCAGTTATAGGCAAGACATAAAGGATTGGGTGTGGCTGTGTTCCAGTAAAACTAATTTACAAAAACAAGTGGCTAGCCTACAGGGCATAGTTTGCTGACCCTGTTCTAGACTGGAGCACTTCTTTTCCTTCCCCAACACTATCTTTCTTAAAATAGCATGTTTAGGGCCAGCCCGTGGCACACTCAGGAGAGTGCAGCGCTGGGAGCGCAGCGACACTCCCGCCGTGGGTTCGAATCCTATATAGAACTGGCCAGTGCGCTCACTGGCTGAGCGCGGTGCGGGAGACACCACACCAAGGGTTGTGATCCACTTACCGGTCACAAAAAAGATAAAAAAAAAAAGCATGTTTAAATAGCATTTTTAATAGCATTTCTTAAAAAACTATCCTCAGTCAAAAGGAGATGGAGCTATAATCAGATCTATAAAATATTATTACAAGAGAAAAAAGAAAAGATACATGATATAAAGAAAGCAGACAAAAATACAATCAAAAAATTTATGACACATGGATAATAATCTTGAATAAGTTCTGAGGAAAGAAGGTAAGAATGGTATCTAAAAATGACAGCTTAGGTTTATGAAGAGTTTACACCAATTGTCACTACAAAAGTCTATGGGCTTTAGAAAAATATATTTGAAGAACATTTCAGAGGGATCAACTACTCATTGATTAACCATTTATAGGGTCCTGACCCCTCCTCACCTGTCTGGTTACTTCCCACTAACCTGGACAGTGTCTCCTTAATACTTCTTCCTCCACTACCCATGGTTCTTCTTCTTGCTCCAACTTGAAAATCACATCAGGTTTAGTGAGTGGATAGCCTGCCAAAGGGAAGTGACACAGATTTGGGCATACGTACTAGGAACAGAGAACCATCCCTGCCTTTCGTTTGTCACGACAGGTCCTATGGTCATTTATGAATTATGTTGACTTCCCCTTTGGATTTCTTGAGAGGAAGAGGTTTGCTGAACACCGGGAACTTCCTTACTTCTGTCCCAAGGACGGTTTTTAGGTTTGTTCTACACTGGAGTGGAAAGAGACATCGCCCCAATTTGGCCACAGGAAGCATTTTTGTCCATGCGCTTCGTCGACTTGAATCACATTCACTTTATGGTCACGTTTGCTCTGGCAGCCATTCCCCCCTTAACCCACTCACTTTGCCACCAACCCACTCTTCTTTCTTTTCTTTTCTTTTCTTTTTTTTCTAAAAAGATGACCGGTAAGGGGATCTTTACCCTTGACTTGGTGTCGTCAGCACCACGCTCAGCCAGTGAGCGAACTGGCCATCCCTATATGGGATCCGAACCCGGGGCCTTGGTGTTATCAGCACCGCACTCTACCGAGTGAGCCACGGGCCGGCCCGAAACCAGGCTTTCTGAATGACAAGAAATTGTGGCTTCTGGGGGTGCTGCCCCATGAAACATAACCAAGGATGACCTTTTTCTTTGAAAGCTGCAGCATGGACATTCACATGAACAGAGGCATCTCAAGGCCAAACTCATCCTAACGTTTAAAAGTTCTATACATTTCAGAAATACTGGGGGGTGGGGGGAAGGTACCTTTTTTCCAGAATTTAAATTATACAGTAAACTACTCTTACCCACTGTGATTAAGTTGTTATAGTTTTCTAGCATCACATTCCGATACAGGTTCTTCTGAGTGGGATCCAATTGCTTCCATTCCTCCTGGGTGAAGTCAACAGCTACATCTTTGAATGTCACTGTTCCCTGTAACAACACACTCCTACTCAATCTGAAGTCATCCATCTTAGGTGATATAGATAAACATACTGAAACTTGTTCTGACATAACTCAGAAGTAAGACATTATATAAAAAAAAAACTTTACCTGGTTTTATTATTTTCTAAAAAAATAAATAAACCATCTGTTAGCAATATCCTGTCAGTTTCTGTTCATTCACTGATTTAGCAGGTATGTTTCTTTAATACTACCATGATTTAAAGAAATCTCGGGAACCAATTTATACAGTGTAAAAGTAATGAAAAAAATAAAACTCTACTCAAGTAAGTTGGTACAAGACCTCACTAGATATGAAAGGCAGGAAAAACTATAAGAAGGATTTTAACAGAAGCAAAAGCAAGTAGAGAATAATAGACAAAATTTGAAGTATAGCAGGACATCCAATTGGAAATATACATTGATTTAGTAGTTGGATAGAGAGATCAGGAGAAATCTATGGTGGAAATGAGGATTTACTGGCCATCAGCCCATAGTATATCTGCAGCCATGAAAATGGGATCTGATTGCTCAAAGAGCTTACATATATTGAAAGAAGAGGGCTACAGACAGAATCCTACATATAACAAAGAAAGAAAGGATGCTCAAATAAAGATTTATTTTTTAATGGTTAGAATTAGAATTATAACCAAAACTATGAGAAAATAGTATAAAGAAAGCTTTAGAATGAGTTTCAGAAATGAGAAGCTGGTGAAAAATTCCTGAAAGCAATGTGATTTGAATACAGAAATCTAATGTACCCTTCCTAGTTCAAAATGAAATGCCCTAACCTAGAGAATATGAATATAAGAAAAATCTTCAACAGCACTAGAAAAAAGGGGAGCAATCCTTATGTCCTACCTTTTAAGGAATTTCTACCGGAGATGGGGTACAACAGAAAGAAGTTTCCAATAGCTAACTTACAATTAATGGTTCTAAGCACTTACTTCTAGATACTAAGAGATCCTATGAACATGAACATCCACTAACACTAAGGGTTCAGAGAAAGCTGTGGGACTGATGGAAAATCATCTGTTGAAATCCTTTCTTGCTAAGATCATGACATTTGAAATAAATGTGTTCAAGAAGCTAAAGGAAAAGAGTCAGGGCAAAAAAACCTCTGAAATCCAAGGGGTTCTAGGATTTTTCCCTTACGTGGGAGGAAGAGCAAAATAAGCTTGGGTAAAGCAGTTGGTGAAGTAGGGCTGAGGAGAAAATGATGTGGAAAAGCTGGCCCTAGTATAAAGGTTTCACCAATCACAGTGAACAACAGAGCAAATAAAATGCATTCTTGTTGGTAACTGCCTCAGCCTGAAATTTTCCCTCAGAAAGTTTTATTTTCCTCAGAAAGTCCGATCATTAAACAAATAAATTTTCAAAACCAACACCACAGAAAATCAAAATTGTACACAGCTCAAAAATGAGAGAATCCAAAAAGAAATCATTAAAATAAATTTGAGGAAAATAAGTAAAATAACTTAGTAAATGGGAAAGCAGAAATAATCTTAAAATTAGAAATACAGAACTTTATACATAAATCTTCATTTTTTTTTTTTTTTGTCTTTTTTCATGTCCAGCAACGGATCGCAACCCTCAGTGTCGCGCCCGTACTGGACCGGGACCAGCAACGGGATCGCAACTCTCGGTGCTGCGTCTGCACCTCGCTCAGCCAGTGAGCGGGAACCGGTCTGTATGTGGGATCCGAACCCTCGGCGGGAGCGCCGCTGCACTCCCAAGCGGCGCACTGTAGCAGTGCGCCAACGGGCCGGCCCAAAAGTTGACATTTTAAGAGACAAATGTTTAATAAGTTTAATGAAGAAAAATAAACATCTAAAATTAGGAACTGTTTTAAAAGTTTACATTTAAATTTATATATTTTTTCAATGATATCCGTGGTTGAAATTTTTAAAATTGCAATTAAATGAATAATTGAAAAGAAAACATAAAACCAACACTGACCCCCAAAAAAGGAATCCTAAAGAGTGCAATATTGTAGCACATACTGTTATTCTTTCACTCTTTATTTTTCTTCCTGTCTTCCCAATTTTCAGCCAGGCACATGGCCTGCTGAAATAGGTAAGTTTATGACAAAGTTCTAGACAGTGAAATGAAAAGTATTGCATGCAACTACTGGTAAGTGGGCTTAAAGGAACAAATTATACCATTTCTCCCTGGCTTTCTTCTCCCTATTGACTGGTAAGTAAATGTAATGGCTAGGGCAAATATAGCCATTTGGGATAATGAGGTAGAAGCCAACTATTCAGAATGGCAGAGCAATGAAGTAGGAATTTGGTTCTCTGCCCTTTGGAGCTATAAGACCAGCCCTGGTCTACTGGCACCTGAACTTTAATATGAGAGAAAAATAAATTTCTGTCTTATTTAAGCAAATGCTATCTGGGATTTCTATTTCAGGAAGTAAACTATGATATTAACAGATAAAAATGCCCATGACAGAGAAAGAACATTTCAAAGTACTGCCTTGCAGCAAGCCATGAAGTTATGCTGCTCAGATCCCCTTTAAGAGAATCTGCTATGAGAAGTATAGTTGGTGAACAGAATCCAGCTGCTCATCCTTTGGTTCTGCTACTGAATTCATGCTGAGGCCACGTTACCTTAATACTGCTCCCAACCAAAGACTGAGCACGGTGAGGGTATTAGAGTCTGAACTATTTCTACCCGTTATGGTTTTCCTCTAACAGGAAAGCTTTGGTCAGCAACTCCCCATTGACCTGGATGAGATTTCTCACAGCTGCACAATGGTTGGCAGGAGAAAGAATCAGTAACTTGAAGATAGATCAATAGAAATTATGCAATCTGAAGAAGAAAAATGCATGAAGAAAAATGAATATAGACTCAAAGAAATGTGGGACAACAATAAGAGTGTCAAAATATGCATGATTTAAGTACCAGAAAGAGAGGAGAGAGAAAAAAGGACAGAAAATTATTCAACTAAATAATGGCTGAAAATGTCCTAAATTTGACAAAGAACACTAATATACATATCTAGGAAGCTCAATGAACTCCAAGCAGAATAAATGCAATGAGGTACAAACCTGGACCCATCATAGTCAAAATGTTGAAAGTAAAGAGAGAGAAAATCTTGAAAGCAGCAAGAAAAAACAATTCATGATGTTGAACACAACCATAATAAAATTAACAGCTGACTTCTCATTAGAAACAATGGAAGCCAAATGGCAACAAGACAATATATTCAAAGTCTTCTAAGAAAAAAATATCAACAAAGAATCCTATATTTAGTTATTTTTCAAAAATGAAGGTGATTACGCTACATGAAAGAAGCCAGACATGAAAGGTCATATATTTTATTATTCTACTTATATGAAATATTCAGAATAGGTAATATATTTAGAATGGGAAAATTCATCTGAAAGAACATTTACAAAAAATCCACAGCAAATATCATACTTATTGGTGAGTCACTGAAAATATAACCCCGGAGGTCAAGAATGAAACAAAAATGATAGCTACACCACATCTATTCAATGTCATACTGAATGTTTAGCAACTGAAATAAAGCAAGGGAAAGAAAGGAACATGAGGATTTGAACCGAAAAAAGAAAACCTTATTTTAAATGACATACTTGTAAGCATAAACATTCCAAAAGAAAAAAAAAATCTATAGGCAAACTACTAAACTTCATAAATGAATTTAGTAACGTCTTCAAATTCAAGGTCAATATAAAAAAATCCAGAGTTCCATTTGTTTCGATTTTAAAAATCCAAAAGATTAAAAATTAAAAGATACCATTTACAATAGCCTCAAAAAAATCATCAAATTCCTAGGAGTAAATCTATAAAAGATATGCAATTGGAAGACTCAATATTATAGAAGTGAGTATTCCCTAAATAGGTTATTCTACAAATTCAATGTAATTTAAATCAAAATCTCAGGAGTTTTAATTGTAGAAATAGACTAATTCTAAAACTTATAAGGAAATGTAAATAGCCACAAGAAAATAGCTACGGTAATGCTGAAGAAGAACAAAGGATTTGCACTATCAGATATCAAGATTTATTGTAAAGATACAGTAATTAAGATAGAATGGTACTGATACAAGGAAAGAAAAAGAATATAAAGTCCAGGAATATATAGATTAACATGAATTGTCTTGAAAACACAATATAGAGGGAAAAAAGTGAGTTGCAGAACTGTAAGTCCATTATACTCTCAGTTATCCAAAAATTCAAAACAGAGTAATATTATATAAGCTTTATACATGCATGGTAAAAATATAAAAACATGGACTCTATGGCTATATATGACATTTACAAGACTGACTGTCTCTGGGGAGAGAGTATCTATAATATTCTAATTATTTTATTCTAAAAAAATCCTGAAGCAAAAATGACAAAATCCTAAGTTATATTAATTCTGGATATTGGACATATGGCTGTTTATTACCTTGACCCTCTCTCTTTCTAGTTTTTAAAATAATAAAGAAAAAGAGAAAGATAAGAGGAAATAAAATAGTAAAATGGAGCGCAGGGAGAAGGAAGGGAAGAGTAGAAAAAAAAGAAAAAGGAAGAAGTAGCTCTTTATTAATTATATTTTTGTGTGTTCTCACTGACTTTCAATTTTATTCTGGCCAATTCCTTCTTTCTGTTTTTCCTATGTTTATTTTCTCACTGTTTCTACTTTCTAGAGATGTATATTTGTTCATTTACTTTCATTCTTTTATGTTTATTATCATATTATTACTATCAAGCCTACAGACTTTCTTCTGAGCACTGCTTTATATCCCTTAGCTTCTGACAATGTAATATCCAATTAACATTATTTTTATATGTTGTATAATATAAATTTTTATGTCCCTTCTGAACTGAAGTGCTTATACGAGTTCAAATTTTCTGATGTGAAAGAGTTTTTCTTTTTTAATCTTTTATTAGTACCATATTTAATTGCACCATGGAAACATCACATGTATAGTTTTCACTTTTGAAATTTATTGACTTTTATTAAGGTCTAATAT